GAGGCGCAGGGGTGTCTCTACACTCCACTCACGTTATCGGTAAATCTAAAACTGCTCAAAAAGAAAATGTCTTAATTAATTTATTTTATTATTATTATTTTTGTACGTATTTATGTGGTACAGAGTTGACTACCAGTATTTGTGTACAGTATGTGATGATCAAATCGGTATTATTAGTATGCTCATCTTTAAAAATTGTAATTATTTTTTGTGTCCTTTACCAAATTACTCCCTATCCCACCTACTCTTCCCCCTTCTCCATCTCTAGTAACTACAGATCTGTTGTTTCCTTCTGAAAGTTCAATAATTTATTATGGTCTTTTTTGTTTCTTAGCTCCGACTTATGAGTGAGGACATGCAGTATCTCTCTGTGTCTGGCTTATTTCATTTAACATAATTTTCTCCAAGCTCATCCATGTTGCTGCAAAGGCAGAATTTCATTCTTTTTTTATGGCTGAGTAGTATTCCATTTTGTATATGTACCACATTTTCCTGATGGAAATTTAGGTTGGCTTCATATCTTGGCTACTGCATGTAGAACTGCCATTATCATGAGATCACAGGTATCCCTTCAACATGATAATTTTCATCCCTTTGGGTGTATACCCAGAAGTGGGATTATGGATCATACTGTAGTTCTACCTGTTGTTGTATGAGAAACCTCCATACTATTATCCATCATGGCTGTACTAATTTACAATCCCACCAACAGTGTAGAAAAGTTCCCTTTTCTCCATGTCCTCACCAGCATTTGTTATTTTTGATAGTAGCCAGTCTAGCTGGAGTGAGATGATATCACAATGTGGTTTGTATTTGCATCACCCTGATACTTAGTGATGTTGAGCATTTTTTCATGTACCTGTTGGACATTTGTATGTCTTCCTTTGAAAAATGTCTATTCAGCTCCTTTGCCCATTTTTTAATTGGATTTTTTTTTTTTTTTTTTTACTGTGAAGTTGTTTGAGTTCCTTATATATTTTGGATATTAATCCCTTGTTGGATTTATGGTTTGCATATATTTTCTCCCATTCAGTAAGATGTCTTTTCACTCTGTTGATTGTTTCCTTTGTTGTGCAGAAGCTTTTTAGTTTGATACAATCCCATTTATTTTTTTTTCTTTTGTAGCTTGTGCTTTTTAATGAGATGCATAAGAATGGGTACAGTCACACAATGAAATACTATAAATCGATTAAAATGGTTTATCTACAACCACATTTAGCAATATGGATCAACATTTGAAATAAGCTTAACATTAGCTAAGATATACTAAATTATTCATTTATATGAAGCGCAAAACCAGTTCAAACTAATTAATGGTGTTAGGGTCAAAACAGTGGTTACCAGTGTGGTGAGACTGTGTGTCTAGAAGGTAGCACAGGTGAGAAAGATTCTAGGGTGCTGGTTATACAGGGGTATTTATTTTGTGGAAAAAAAAATCATTGAGCTGAATGTTTCTAGTGTGAATATTACTTTTGGTGTGAATATTACTTTTGAATAAAACAATCATTTTATTTGACAAGGAGTGTATGCATGTCTCTGGTGAAAATATAAATGTCAGAGTGTTTGGGAATGGTGAGACAGAACAAATATCAGACCTACAGAAGGAAAGTTCCTGCTAGGGAAATTGAAGTCTAAGAAACTGAGACTTGGAGAGAAAAGGGGGAGCAGAGTGGGGGTGAGAGAAACTCAAGGACCCTCCACAGTTGAACATTACCGAAGATTGTACTTGGAGACCTTGCCCTTTATATGTCCATCTTTGTGCCTCCAGCATTTCTGCAGGTAAAATCCATGCTTCTTTCATTCCTAGTTCCCTATATCACTTACGGGGCTCTCCTGTGGCATCAAGATGCATCAACGTTCCCCAATCTCCGTTCATCGGTGTGTCAAGATATAAGCTTCCTGGACTTGGTGAGGCATTTAGGAGGAAAACAGTTTATTTCTTTTTAATCTGGCCAGGTGGATGGGAAAAGCAGGAGAGGAACATTTATATGTGAGGAATCTTGACAATCTGAAATAGAATTTCCATAACTTCTCATTAAACATATAGTTTGATTTTCACTGTCTACTCCAAGAAATGTATTCACCTGCTGAGGGTGAAGGTAAAAGGAGTTATCCTTCAAGGTTTGGGACTTGAAGTAACCCCGCCAAAAAACTTTATTGAATTGAAAATTATACTGTGTAGACTGTTTTCAGAGATGACCCCAATTCACCATTTTTCTCTGTATCCATGACTTGTGCAATATGACTGTGAAGATTCCTTCCCTCTGCAGGTGGAGTGTGTTTACCCTTCTTTGGATCTGGGTTAGACTTAGGATTTTATATTTGCTTTAGCCAGTAATATATGGTGGAATTGACAGTGTCCCTCAAGGTGCCTTAGCATGTTTCTGATTCTCCCTCCTGTAACCATGCCCTTGCCATGTGAATGAGTCCAGGCTAGCCTGCTGCAGTAGGAGAGAGGACATGAGGGGCAGAGCCAAAGTGTCCCAGCCATGAACACCTTGAGCTTCCTACAGGGAGGAAGCCCCCCGATGGGGGAGAACCCAGCCAAGGTAGCAGAGCATGTCCAGATAAGTCACAGATGACTACAGACTTATGAGATAGATTTCCACGCAATAGAAAAAAAAGGCATTACATCAAACCATTTACTTTTCAAATGGCTTTTTATGTACAATACCTACTCATACAATAATCAATGTAAACAGAACTGAGGACATTCAGAATATTCTGGCGCTTTTTATTTTGGGCATTTGTTCCTAAAATGGAAGGAAATGTTCATGATTACCTGGTTATTCACATTTATTTCAGATAACTACATTAAATAGTGTGTATCACTGAAATTCCATTCCAGGTAACTGGGTAAGTTTGGAAGAACATGTATGTTTATGCAGGAAAACTCATGCCCCTCATTCACAAGTCCTCATTCCCAGAAGCATGAATGGGCAGGATTCCAGCTCTCGTGTGAGTCATCCTTTGCTCATGAGCATTAGAGAGAGTTTAGAACATAAAAGAAAACATAAAATTTATGAGCGTATACACAACTCACGTTCATTCACCTGAACATTAATTTTTGTGACAAAATTTTTAAAAGGAGAAGGTATTTTGTTTAGGGTGACAGCAGGAGTCATATTTGTAGAAAGCAATATAAAGTTTAAGCAGGAAAAAAAAAGATGGCTAAATAGTATCCCATTCATCCATTAAAAATGTAGAAAATCCTGTCATTTACAACAATTTGGATGAACCTGGAGAACATTATGTTAAATAAAGCAGGCACAGAAACACAAATACCACATGTTCTCACTTTTATATGGAATCTAAAAAAGTTGACCTCATAGTAAAGTAGAATGGTTGTTACTAGAGGATGGTGTGGTTATGGGGAAGAGGGCTTGCAGAGATGTTGGCCAAAGGATACATAATTACAGTCAGATAGGAGAAATAAGTTAAATACATGTATTGTAGGGCATGGTGACTATAGCTAATGGTGATATTGTATCCTGAAAAAATGCAAAGAGAGTGGATTTTAGTGTCTTCACCACAAAATAATGACTATGTAAAGTAACAAATAGCTAGACTTAACACTTCAAGACATTATGTTGTGCAGATAAACACAATTTTATCTGTCAATTTAAAACAAACACACAGAGACACAAGGGAACTGGTAGAGGGAAAGGAAATAATTATTACCTTGATTGTGATGATGGTAACATGAATTTGTACATAGGTCCAAATTCCCCCCATTATGTACATTAATTATATTTAATTTTTGTATGTCAAATAGACCCAATAAGCTGGAAAAGTAAAAAAACAAAACAAGAAACCAATAGCAGATGATACAATGAATCATACAGAACATGAAACCAAATCCTTCAGTCTCCTGAATAAACTTCCTTACACTTAGACACATTTGCTTGAGCAGACGTACATCTACAAAAATAATTATTCCATTGAAGATGTATGATTGAATATTCAATGTTGTTGAAAATTTTAAATATTTAAGGTCATCTCTGACTTCATGACCATATTGTAAATGTATGCTAATTTGTCTTTCTGAGCAGACTACCCTTTTAACATATACTTGATAAACAATATTTCATTACTGCTCTGTGCCATGAAATATAGTAGCCACTGTGAACACTATGATGACTAAGAGAACAGTATCTATATGAGAATTAAATTGCATAATCAGCTGTAAAATCATGCAATTTTATTCATTGTATCATAGTTTATAATATAAGGAAAGGCATTAACATAATCATTAAGGAGTGACAGACACACAAAAGGAAAATCTGTTGTATCCTAACTTTGTCTATAATTATAGTATATAATGGCTTCAGTTGTCAGGTGTAATTTATGTCACAAAAGTAGTACAAACTTGTCACCATGTGAAACGAATATGAACCTCTAAATTGTTCCTGATAAAAAGTTGTGAATACCTTTGGAAACTTGAAAAACGTGAAAGGGGAAACATTGGCTATCAGACAGAACAGAAAGCTTACTAAAGGGAGCTGCTTAAATTAGATAAAGCAGTTGAAATTTTAAACATGGAAAATGCAGGCAATAAATCGAGCAAGTTCTACTTTCATAATCTGATCAAATAACAGCAGTGTCTGGCTCTGAGACTTAGAACCCTGCAATCACAGGCACTTCCTGAAAACTGGCTCTTTCATGGCTTCCTTCTGAAAAGTGTTTTCAGAGCCTCCTTTATGTCTTTATTCCTCAGACTGTAGATGAAGGGGTTTAGCATGGGTGTGACCACACTGTACATCACCGAGGCTGTTGCACTTGAGTGTGAGTTGTGTGTAGCAGCGGAACTAAAGTACACTCCTAGCATCGTACAATAAAATAAGGAGACAACTGAGAGGTGAGATGCACATTTGGAAAATGCTTTATACTTCCCCTGAGCTGATGAGATTTTACGTATGGAGGAAACTATCTTAGAATAGGAGTAAAGGATACCAGAGAGGGTTCCACCACCCAGCAGCACTGCTGCAAAATACATCACCAGATCATTAAGAAAAGTGTCAGAGCAAGCAATTAGGACCACTTGATTAATTTCACAGAGAAAGTGGGGAATTTCAAAGTTTGTACAAAACGACAGCAACAACACCATTAAGCTATGTAACAAGGAATTTAGTGCACTCATGACCCAGGACACCAGAACTAGCAACACACAGAGCTGGGGGTTCATGATGACTGTGTAGTTCAGGGGGTGGCAGATGGCCACATACCGGTCGTAGGCCATCACGCTGAGAAGGAAGTTCTCCAAAACTCCAAAGAGAATGGCAAAGTACATCTGGGTGATGCAGCCTTCATAGGTTATGACCTTGCTGTGTGTCTGGATGTTCACCAGCATCTTTGGGATGGTGGTGGAGGTTAAACAGATGTCCACAAAGGACAGGTTGGAGAGGAAGAAGTACATGGGTGTGTGCAGGTGGGAGTCTGAGATCATGGCTGAAATGATGANTGTAGATGAAGGGGTTCAGCATGGGTGTGACCACAGTGTACATCACCGAGGCTGTTGCACTCGAGTGTGAGTTGTGTGTGGCAGCGGAACTAAAGTACACTCCTAGCATCGTACAATAAAATAAGGAGACAACTGAGAGGTGAGATGCACAGGTGGAAAATGCTTTATAATTCCCCTGAGCTGATGAGATTTTACGTATGGAGGAAACTATTTTAGAATAGGAGTAAAGGATACCAGAGAGGGTTCCACCACCCAGCAGCCCTGCTGCAAAATACATCACCAGATCATTAAGAAAAGTGTCAGAGCAAGCAATTAGGACCACTTGATTAATTTCACAGAAAAAGTGGGGAATTTCAAAGTTTGTACAAAACGACAGCAACAACACCATTAAGCTTTGTAACAAGGAATTCAGGGCACTCATGACCCAGGACACCAGAACTAGCAACACACAGAGCTGGGGGTTCATGATGACTGTATAGTGCAGGGGGTGGCAGATGGCCACATACCGGTCGTAGGCCATCACGCTGAGAAGGAAGTTCTCCAAAACTCCAAAGAGAATGAAAAAGTACATCTGGGTGATGCAGCCTTCATAGGTTATGACCTTGCTGTGTGTCTGGATGTTCACCAGCATCTTTGGGATGGTGGTGGAGGTGAAACAGATGTCCACAAAGGACAGGTTCGAGAGGAAGAAGTACATGGGTGTGTGCAGGTGGGAGTCTGAGATCATGGCTGAAATGATGAGTGTGTTTCCGAGCACAGAGACCAGGTACATAAACAGAAACAGCCCAAAGAGGAAGGGCTGCAAGTCCTCTGAAAGTCCCAGAAGAAGAAACTCTATAATTTGTGTTTCATTCCCTGGTTCCATATGGTTGATGTGACTCAAAAAAAGAGAAAAAAGAACATGACACAAGTATACGTTATGAACCTGTCAGAAATGCTGTCATTTACATCCTGAAGTCAAGACACTAATTCCTATACTTTGTGCATAAATCTCTTTTGTTTCTGGGAACCCCATGTGTCATTTTTCATTAGGAATCCTGTCCCACTCTCCACCTTCACTAAGAGGTCACATGCTCAAAATTTAACAAGGGGAGCAGGAAAGATGCCTGAGTAGAGGTGCCTGGTATGTATCCCTCCAACAAAAAAGGATCAAAATAATTAATAAACAGCTACATAGAGATGGCAATGTCTGTGGAACAGTGCCGGACTGCAGCAAAAGCCTGGTGAGACACAAGTGGAGCCCAAAAGTCCAGCATGGCTGTATAGGGAGGGGAGCAATCATGCTGCCTGAGCCACCATGTCCTGCCACCAGGATCTGCACTGGAGTGACATTCCCTCGCTGGTAAAAGTTAAGTAGAAGCCCTATATCAGCCCTCCTTCTCACCACAATAACCTATAATTACTACTAAAGAAAAATCCTAAAGCCCTTGCAAGCCTGGAGCAGACTGTAGAGAACCCAAGCATTGTGTTGCTCCATAACAGAAGCACACATTATGCACTGCCCACACCACACCCTAATGACACAAGATGAGCAGTACAGTGTCATCCTGAAACCAGAGACACTTCAAGAGGACACCCTGCCCTGGGGACCAGGAGCCACTACACTTTCCCAACCTTAATGCTCCACTGTTACCCCAATGCAGTCATGCAAGTGGCTACAATGTCCTGATCTCAGGGACTTATGCCCAGGCCCAGGAGTGGCTAAGACTCTTTACTTACACATCTGGGAAGCCAGCCCCATCTCCATATCAAACTGCTGCATCTCCACACAACCGGCCAAATATGAGACAGGCAATCTCTCCTCTGCTGCACTGCCCACCCCTGCTAGACTACTGAGTACTGTATGCCTGCACCCCAATCCAATAACACAGCTCAGGGAGCACTACCTTAATAAATTTGACCCCAAGAAAGCAGAGCTAAAGGAAATCTTATTAATATCATAAGGAAACTCACTGAGATATAAGAGAATACAAAGAAACGATTCACCCAAATCAGAAAAAGCAAATGATCTGATCAAGAAATTTAGCAGAGACATAGATATCATTTAAAACAATCAAACATAAATCCTGGAACTGAAGAAATCATTGAATAAAATAAAATCCACACCAGAGAGTCCCAACAACAGGCTAGATCAAGAAGAAACAATTTCTAATTTTGAAGATGCTTCTATTGAAATAAATTAATTTTGAAGATGCTTCTTTTGAAATAAACCAGAAAGACAAAAAATAAAAATAGAAAAGAATGAGGAAAGGCTAAAATATTTCTGGGATACCATTAAGTGAACAATATTCAAAATATGGGCTTTTCCAGAAGAAAACAAAAAAATATTAAACACTTAATTGATAAAATGATAGGGGAAAACATCCCAAGTCTTGAAAAACATGAATTTACATATCCAAGAATCTCAAAGGACTACAAATAGATTCAACCCAAAGTGGCTCACTCCAAGGCATATTACAGTAAGATTGTCAATGTTAAATGTGAAGAGAGAATTCCAAAAAGAGCAAAAGTGTCAAGTCACATATAAGAGTATCCCCATTACACTAACTGCAGACTTCTCAGTAGAACCCCAGCAGGCCAGGAGCGAATGGCAAGATACATTCAAAGTTCTTAAAGGAAAACATTTCCAGTCAAGAATTTTATGCCCAGCAAAGCTAACCATCAAAAATGAAGGAGAGGGCCGGCCCGGTGGCGCACTGGAGAGTGAGCCGCTTGGGAGCATGGCGGCGCTCCCGCCGAGGGTTTGGATCCCATGTGGAGACCGGTTCCTGCTCACTGGCTGAGCACGATGCAGGCGCAACACCGAGGGTTGTGATCCCGTTGCCAGTCAGTAAAAAAGACAAAAAGGAAAAAAAAAATGAAGGAGAAATAAAGTCTTTCTCAAACTAGCAAAATTAAGGGAATTCATTATCACCAGACCAGCCTTAGAAGCAATGTTTAGGGGAGTCCTACAGCTAGAAGTAAAAGACTAATAACAATCATCATAAAAACACACGAAAATATATAACTTACTGGTACAGCAGATACACAAATTAGAAAGAGAAAGGAATCAACACTTATCAATACATAAAACCACCAAACTGCAAATATAAACAATAAGAGAGGAAGAAAGGAACAAAAAATATGCAAAACAATCAGAAATGACAGGAGTAAGACGGCATGTATAAATAATAACTGAATATAAACAAATTAAATGCACCAATTAAAAGACACAGACTAGCTGAATAGATTTTTTTAAACACAACCCATCCATATGCTGCCTACAAGAAACATGCTTTACCTATAGAGACACACATAGACTAAAAGTGAAGGGATAAAAGAAGATATTTCACATAAATGGGAAAAAAGAACAAGCAGGGTTAGTTAGTTAGTTATTCTTACCCAGGGAGACGGTGCTCAGTGGATACAGATTTGTAGCTAGATAAGAAGAATAAGATCTAGTGTTCACAACACTAAAGGGAAATTACAGTTAACAACGAATCATTGTATAATTACAAATAGCTAGTACAGAGGATTTTGAATGTTTCCAACACAAAACAATAACAAATGATTTAGGTTACGGCTATGCAAATTACCTTGATATGATCATTTCACACATTATAAATATACCAAGTATCACATTGTACTCCATAAATATATACAATTATCCTGGGTCAATTCAGAAAAAATAAATTAAGACGAAAAAATTCAGACACAGATGTAGATTAGAGGTTATTTGAAGCCGGAAGAAAGGAATAATATAGAAGTTAATGCTTAATGGGTAAGAAGTTTATGGTTAGAATGACATAAAAGTTCTGGAATAAATAGAGATGATGTCTACACAGCATTAGGAATGCAATTAATTCTGTGGTATTGCATGTTTAAAAATGGTTAGAATGGCAAATTTTATGTTACACATTTTTTACCACAAAAAAAAATTATTGACATTTTTTCATGCTTTTAATGAATATAAATTGACTGTGGATCATGTTCCAGTCACTAGGCAATGATTAATCAGTGCTGAAAAACAAATGTCACTAACATCTAATAATGGACAAATAATACAAGCAAATATAAGTAGGTGAAGGAATAATTGTGTAACATGCCAGATGGTGACATATACTATAAAGAAAATGAAAGCAGATCTAATGGATAACGTTGACAGGGAGTGTTACTTTTACTGGGTTTTCAGCCAAGTTACGTGACGCTTGAAAAGAGAACTCCAGGAAAACAGGACGGGGGGCCAAAAAGTTATCTGCAGAAGTGGATGCCTGGCAGGAGGAACGGCCATTGCAAAGGCTCTGAAGAAGGTGCTTTTTTCAGATGTTCAGGGACAACAAGGAAGCCAGGATGGCAGGTGAATTTGCAAGAGGATAGTGTTTAGATGGTGTCAGAGGATGTTACAGAGTGAGGTGGCCTCACTGCTGCTGAAACTTTAAAACACAAGGAGTCCCTCTGTTACAAATCTGCAATTTAGTAAGCTGACTGCAAAGGTGCCCTGAGAATTGAAATGCATCCATCTTCATTTCTGTCCATTGCCTTATGTTCTGACCACTGTATTATGATTTACCTTTTGGAATATACTGAGCCTAGGTCCCCTTTCTCTGAAACTTGCTTTCATCCCTAAAGGTACACACACGCGCGCGCACACACACACACACACACACGTACACACTTAAACATGGAGCTGTGTTAATATCAAGTTCTTCTCACCCCAATCACAGTATTAGAAAAAAATGGATACGTAAAGCTGTCAATATTAAGTGATCTTTCTCCAAAAATAGGTAGAAATGATACCCAGAAATTCCTGTGTGTAAATCTCCCACATGCATATAAACTTAGGGCTCTTTTTTAAAGTAGACATTTTTTGCCCTGTATTTTTAAACATAGAGAAAATCTGCTCAATAAACAGGGACAGAGAGGGAGAATTATTAATGGCCCTGAGAGAGAAAAAGATCTAATAAGCTTAAGTGGTCCCTGAGAGAGTACAGGGAAGTAAAAAGCTT